AGGTACTCCACTGCGGGGCCCCCTGCTGCCAGCTGGTTGGACTGCACTGCCATCGTACACATCTGCAGGCATTGGGAGGTTCTGACCTCGGGCACGTGCCGGGCCCCTCGACCGCGTCCATCCTCCAACAGAGAGACAAATCACAGCCTGCCCCAGATACAGAAACATTCTAATTCTCTTTTTAATATTTACCGTTTCATTTTTTATCTCCAATATATATATATATATATATATATATATATATAAATAAATAACGACAAAGAGAGCAAAGGTGAAACTCAGAGGCGGGATATTAGCATGTTTGGCTGGGGGCCTGTGGTCATCCAGCCCCACTCATTACTATAATTGGAATTTAAAGCCTCCGCCCATGAAGATTACAGATATTTAATTTTGGGAGATTTTCATTTAGATTTCCTGTAATCGCTGTAGAACCCTGAGCTCGGCCAGCCCCCTGCTGTGTGCGACACCCTGCCGACGGCCCCTCCCCCGGCCTGCGGGTCACACTGGGGGCGTCCCATTGGTCTGGCTGACGCACGCACACACGTGCAGCCTGACGGCTCGCGTCTGAAGTCTGCGCCCTGGCCCGGCTGTTCCCAGGGGCTTCCCTGCTATAACCGAAAAAGGAGGCGCTGCCAGTGAATGCAGCAGGTCAGCCCAGAGCCAGCTGGGTCCCTGTCGGCCGGCACTGTAAGCAGAGGGTGAGAGAAACACAGGTGCAGGAGCTACGCTAATAATGTTACTGCATCAGTGACATTAAGTCTGAGGCATGATACACACGCAATACAGACACAACAACATATATACACACGCAATACAGACAATATATACACACGCAATACAGACACAATATATATACACGCAATACAGACAGAATATATACACACTCAATACAGACACAATGCAAACACGCAAGACAGACACAATATATACTCATGCAATATAGACACAATACACACATGCAATATAGACACAATATATACACACACAATACAGACACATGCAATAGACACAATATACCCACACAATACAGGCACAAAATACAAATAATACAGACACAGTTGCATTTCTTGCAGGGAATCATCATAAAACACAGTTCTGCACCTGATATGATTATAATTTTGAATTGTCACGTGACTCTTATTTAATAATTTTTTAGATTTAATAATATGTAGATATACACTTAACGATAAGTTAATAAATTCAGATTGAACAATTCATGCATATTTCACAAAAGCCAAAAAATAAAAACATGAAAAATATATTTAAAATTCTCTTTTCTTTTCCCATGTGCTACCCTGTAAATCCAAGCAAAAGATCAGGGGGCCACCTAGTGGAATGTGTCAGGATTGCAATACAGTTACTAAGATAAAACACACATAAGATGTATATTTTTACTAAGGTGTTAACTTCCTAGGACTACAAGATCTACAGTATCTGCAAACCCTCTCAGAACCACCATCTGCAGCTAAGCAGAACAATTATGCGTGTTTGTGACGAAGCGCATCAAAGTACAATGTGAGTGACTGAATGACCCTATAATGACTCAAGCAAAAAAAAAAAAATTAAATCTCACACTCTTCCCATGTGAGGCCACGCCCCACCTCTCCTAAAAATACACTTTGAACTTGAAGGTGCCGTTTCTGACTGCTTTCTCCCTGAGGGGGCGAATGTTACTTACCATTGTTCTGAATTAGCACATTAAATAATAATGCAGGCTGTCAACAAAGCAGACTAAATATAGTCTGGCTGAAACACAGCAAACACATTAAAATCCTCCAGCACAGGGAGGTCCCAGGTCGGTTACGCCAACCTGTCGGTGCTGCAGCTCCGTTCCCGTAGATAAAAGCCTAAATGCCTTTTTTCATTTTTGCAAAATCAGTTAATTAAACCCAGCACCTAGGGGACGGGGTCTTTGCCGAGAGAAAAGTCATCTTCCTCGAGAAGAACAGGAAACACAAAGTCACTGGCGTGTTCCCTCCTGCCACAACCCCCACAAAGTCACCCGTGACCAGTGGCATCGCGATGCGCACCGTGCTTCAGGACGCCGGGAATCTTCGGGGTCTGTCTGTCTGCTCCTCTGCAGTCAGGGCCTTCTGCACCTTGCCTGCTCAACATACCTGAAAGTAATAAGGCCTGGACAAGCCTAAATTTTCACCTCTGGCAACGACCACAGACTGCACAAGCAGCAAGGACACAACGGCAACTCATACTCAGGCAAGTCAGGAGCAACTACTAACCTCTACCTCGACGCCTGCGCAGGGCACGCCAGGGATCCACATCTCCAAAAGCCAAATGAATAATTTAGTAGCAGAGCATGGATGGCCAAGCACATGAGGAAACCCTTTAAATCTCAGACACATCGTCAATGTCACCCTACTGATACCCTGATTAGCATTCTGAAACGATCATACCTTTGTGTGAGCAATATAAAATACATACTTTAAACTGGAAATTGGGGGTAGAAAGCAAATAATTCCACTGTTGCTAAAGCACTGTTTGGGAACAAGAAAGTGGAGATGATGACTGCACCCTCAGAAAAACCAAAACCTAACACCAGACCTCATCTGCATATATTACACCCGGTTTGGCCAAATCCTTCCAGCCTCAATCATTTGGCCCAAAATCCTATTTTAAAAAACTCACAAAGCATAATATATTCATGAAAATTGTTGCTAAAATATTCCAGCGGATGAAAAATACAGGAAGAGAACTAGTCCCCTGATCTCAAATAAGGGATGTATTTTTGTGTTGTAAATCCACTGAGAATGTTATTTTCACAGACCGAAGGGCATTGCACAACAGGAAATATACAAATTTAATTTCACTGGATAATCTGGATTTATATGTTTTGAATGAGCACAGAGTGAGAGCGAACTGAGGAATTCAAACAGTGAAGATCACCCTAAAATTAGCTATTTACACTATAGGGACAAACATATTGGGACATCTGGCCATTACACCTACAGGAGCTTTTATGACACCCCATTCTAAATCCATAGAGATCAGTATGGAGTTGGTCCCCCCTTTGCAGCTATAACTGCTGCCACACTTGTGGTGAGTCTTTGCACAAGATTTTGCAGTGTGTCTGGGATTTTTGCCCATTCATTCCGAAGAGCATTTGTGAGGTCAGGCACTGATGTGGGATGTGAAGGCCTGGCTCGCAATCTCCTTCTGATTCATCCCAAAGGTGTTTGATCAGATCGCGGTCAGGGCTCTGTGCGGGGCAGTCAAGGTCTTCAACACTAAGCTCATCCAACCATATCGTTATGATCTTTGCTTTGTGCACTGGGGCACAGTCATGCTGGAACAGAAAAGGAACTTCCCACAAAGTTGTGAGCATAAAATTGTCCAAAATGTCTTGGTATGCTGAAGCATTGAGTTCCCTTCACTGGAACTAAGGAATCTAGCCCAACCCCTGAAAACACCCCCATACCATTATCCCTCCTCCACCAAACTTTTCAGTTGGCACAACTCTGTCAGGCATGTAATGTTCTCTGGCATCCGTCAAACCCAGACTCATCCATTAGACTGCCAGACAGTGAAGCATGATTCGTCACTCCACAGAACACGTTTCCACTGCTCCAGAGTTCAGTGGCGACGTGCTTTACACCACTGCACCAAACGTTTGCCATTGTGCTTGGTGATATGAGGTCTGCATGCAGCTGCTTGGTCATGGAAGCCCATTCTGTGAAGCTCCCGGTGCAGTTTTTGTGGTGGGGTTAATGCCAGAGGAAATTTGGAATTCTGCAGTTACTGAGTCAGCAGAGTGTTGCTGACTTTTACACACTACACGCCTCAGTACTCTGCGACCACGCTCTGTTACTTTATGTGCTCTGTAACTTTATGGCTGAGTTTCTGTTGTGCCTAAATTCTACCACTTTACAATAATACCACTTAAAGCTAACAGTGGAATATCTAGCAGGGAAGAAATTTCATGAACAGAATTACTGTAAAGGTGGCATCCTATGACGGCACCACGATTAAATTCACTGACCTCTTCAGTACGACCCATTCTTCCACAAATGTTTGCAAATCTGACTGCATGACTAAGTGTTTGATTTTATACTGTGGCAAAGGGTCTGAATGGAACACCTGACCTCAATGATTAAGAGGCGTGTCCCAATATTCTCATCCATTTAGTGTGTATTAATTGATAAGACCAACAGACAGCCCCCATTCCCTCTGCTGTTCTGCCAACAGAAAATATCTACTCACATCTCTCATATTAGACTCCGATTTCCCCCACAATTCAGACACACAGTTTAATATACAGACGACTCTGAAATGCCCGTACTGTGCGAGTGAATGTCTGTTAATACTTTTTGATGGACTAGGATGTACCCATCCTAATGCTACAATAGACTCCAGATTACCACAAACCTAATCAGATAAGTGGATAATGAAAATGGATGTGAGATATGTCATATGTGGAATCTGAGCCTTAAATAAATTCTCTCTTAACAGTTAAAAGGCCAAAGGGAATCCTTGCATGAAAGCTTCCATTTGTGCACATAGTTTGGACCCCCGGACACACAAAAGGCAGTCAATTCCCACAAAGGTCAGGCACTTAATGGGTTAACCTTATAAGCCAGAAAATAATTCACAAAAAAACTGGATTTTTTCATGGATACCACTGACACCTAGTGGGCAATGAGAAAAGTGCACGATAATAATCCTGATATTTTTTTTTTTAGTTTAAAACACTATTTTAACCAAGCATTGAATAGATTCACATTTTTTTAAAAAGTGAGGGACAGAATTTCTCCTGCCACAGAACCCCCCATCCGACTTGGCGACAAAGAAGCAAACAGGGCAAACCAGCTGATGCACAGCTGAACCAAAAAGGTACAGAGGTCTCTCTGCACAAGTCTGTGGCACGTTCATTCTGCGGCCCAACACTGCTTAACGTGCTGCTGTCATGCATCCACTGTTTAAAGTCACTCTGATTGGTTGCCCTTTACACATACATCCAGTGGATGCCTGACAAAGAAACAGACAAATGCATTTTAAATTTGTGTAATATTATTTACAATATGACTTTTCTTAAAATACTTTATCACGATCTGCTACATATCTTGGGGAAAAAAAAAGAATCCTCCGTGCAATAATCCACACTTTGAGATCTTCTCATTGGTTGCAGATTTACAGATGAACAGCATGCTGGGGTTTAGATACAGCTGTAAAGGAGCATGTCTACATAACCCACCACAAACAGAAGCAAATTTAAAAATTAACACTGAATAGTCTCAATGACTGTACCTTTTTTCCCCAATAACTCAGACAGACACCCATCCACTGGCAAAGGTCTTCAGAACATACACACTTTCCCCCAACAGTGCAACTAAATGAACAATCCCTGGCAATAATTTCTCCTGGCACCAAATTTTGAGACAGTGGTTTAAGACATGAGTGGAAACAAAAGTATTAAAATTATATTTATCTTACTGCACAAATGCAATAAATAAATGAACACTTGCACACAGAATAAAAGCACGGCCATTTTAAATTAATACTTTGTCAACAGTATTTTAACATGTCAGTTCAGGGAATAGGCAACTACTTGAATTAAATGACATCTGTCTCTGGGTATCAGAACTCTTCAACTAACTAACAGGGTAAAATTACAACTGTTTAATGCTTTAAAGGAATATTTTGGTGGTAAAGAATAATGTGAGCATCATAGTATTATTATTACAGCACAATTCTGTGGTATAAATTATGTGGATTATTAAAAATAAATATTTTTTTTTTTTACGTAGATATTTTCACGTAACAATGTGCATTTTTAGTTCTTCCATTGCAGTAAGAACGAAATGTTTCACTGAAACACAATGGATTTTGAATCGCTGATGATAATCACTCTGAAGTGCATTAAAATATGGCATCATGATACAATTATTTATGAACGAGCTGATGCGTTTTTAAATGGCCAGACTGGGTGAAGGTCTTCCCACAGAGGGAACATTGGAAGGGCCTCTGGCCTGTGTGGATGACATAGTGTCTCTTGAGCTTGGACGGTGCCTCGAAGTTCTTGAAGCACACGGCACACTGGTAGGAGCGGGAGGACCTCGTGGACGTGCTGCTTCGGTGAGCGCACTCGTGGAGCTGGAGTTCCGTCTCTGTGAAGAAGGTCGAGTCACACTTCTCGCAGCTGCGAGTTTCGCTGGAGGACCTCGTGGACGTGCTGCTTCGGTGAGCGCACTGGTGGAGCTGGAGTTCCGTCTCTGTGAAGAAGGTCAAATCGCACTTTTCACAGCAGAAAGTTTCGCTGAGAGGCTCGCACCAGCCTTCTGAGACCTCCTGGGCTTCCTCCGGCAAGTCCTCCTGAGCTGCGCATTCAGGAAGAGCACTGGAGCCAGGCTCCGCGGCATATGGCTGCCAGATACCCTCCCCCTCAGCTTTAGGGCCCGCCGTTTCAGGTTGGAAGATTCCAGAGTGGGCTGGGCCGTGTGTGTGAACCCGCTGGTGGAACTTGAGGTGTACGGCCTGCCTGAAATCCTTCCCACAGATAGTGCACCTGAAAGGCTTCTCCCCAGCGTGAATTAGGTAGTGCCTTTTCAGTTTGGAGGGGGAAGAAAAGGATCTCTGACATTCGGGACACTCGTGCCTCGTCTTTCTTTGGATGAAGTTCTCATCGACTGTATGGCCAAGTTCTATTGCCATTCCAGCCGACGTCGTATTCAGGTCCCCTGCAAGGTTTGGGCTGTCCATAGCTGAGCAGTTGTCAGAACCCTGTTCACAGGATTGGACACTGAGGTCAGAATGCTGAGTCAGATTGGTCTTCCCTTCCACTGAGGCCATGTCAATTGATGTGATCTCACTTCCTTGAACCATGTATGTGGTGGAGAAGAATGATGGCTCAGACATGGAATTTTGCTGACCCCATTTATCTGATATGGACTGAATACACTCTCTGGGTTTTTCTGCAGGATATTGCATAACTGAAAGTTCCATCCCTACAGGACCACCATCTAACATAACACCATTAACTGTTTCATAGTCATGTGCATCCAAGTCTATTCCATTAACCTCACAAACTTGCCCTGTGAGGACCAGAGATTTTTCCTTTTGGCCACCAAGAGAAAAGCAGTGGTCCTGTTCTTGGGGCTGTGAAGTGTGGCAAGGAAACCATGTATGCTCCCCTTTCTCCTCCAGGGGGCCAACAGAACCTGGTAAGTTCATTTCACCAACAGAGCCGCTATCTGGAAGACCACTGACTAAATGATCCTGGACATTCCCAACCCCTAGCGGAGGACTGCTGCGTCTCGCTCCCTTGTGGATCTGTTGGTGAGTTCGAAGGTGGCAAAGTTGCCGAAAAGCCTTACCACAGAAAGAGCACCTGAACGGCTTCAAGCCTGTGTGAATAAGGAAGTGCCGTGACAGCTTGGAGGGGGAGTCGAAGTTCTTCTGGCAAACACTGCACTGGTACTCTCTAGTTCTCTTAGTCTTTACCATAGAGACATCGGAGGGATCCAAGCTCAATGGCCCATGAGTCGGCACATGGTCTGAGGTGCTGCTGCCTGGGTAAGGTGAAGCTACCCAAAACTCCCCGGCTGCTTCACCAACAGAATGTCCACGTCTAGAAGGGACACACTGTGTGACAGGAGGCAGGGCTTCTGCAGGGATGTCCTCTGCGGTTGCCCCATCTGCTAATCCATGATCAGGTACAGCCAATCCTACCCTATTATACTCACACTCTTCTTTAGTGAAGGACTGCTTGCAGAATTGGGTATTTTGGGTTTGTAGGTTACCTTCATAAGGGAGACTATACTCTGGGAGGGTGAAATCTGTGGGGGCTCCTTGTTGACTGTAATCTAAACAGGGCAGGGCATGTGGCTTACTTGAACGGCGTGACTCTGCTGGCAGAATAGGGCTCGGTGGCTTGAAGTGAGTCCGTTGGTGTCTTCTCAGGTGTGCTGAAAGTCGGAACTTCCGACTGCAGAGAGAGTTGAAGGGCCCGTGGCCTTGGTGAGTGAGGTAAGGCCTTTGGAACTTGTAAGGTGAGTCGAGGCGTCTCTCGCAGGAGTAATGGTAGCTCCATTTGGGGATGCTTCTCCCTTCTGAATCCAGGAGTTCATGCAGCTTGTTCTCTGTGGTTGCCTCCTCAGCCTGGGTTCCCAAGGTAGGATTTAGGAGATCTGGAATTTCACAGTCAGTGATGCTGGTTTCTGCCACAGCATTATTCCCCAGAGTCTCATTTACTCTGTTCCCCCCCCAGCGGACAGCCTGCCTCTGGTGGATGGGCCTCCTCCGGACATGAACGCTATGGTGAGCTTTTAAATGGGATGACTGCCTGAAGGCTCGATGACAAATTGGGCACTGGAAAGGCCTCTGGCCTGTATGAATAAGATTATGTCTTGCAAGCTTGGATGGTGCACTGAAACACTTCAAGCAGAAGGGGCATTCATATGCCCTTGTTTTACCATGAGTGCTCTTGAGGCTTACAAATGAACTCTTAAACTTCTCTTCATTGATCTTTTTTCCAGCACTAGTCCCATTATCCATGATTGGTTCCCCAGACCGTCTAGGGGTCTGCGTCAGCTCTGCATGTGATGGCAAAATCGCCAAGGAGTCCTCTTCTTGGGAGATGACATGTCTGCCATGACTGCGCCCTCTGGTGGCAGACCTAATCAAGTTCAAAAACTTCTGCTGAAGGGCACCTTTAAATAACCTCAGCCTGCAGTGGGTCTGCTGGTGTACCTTTAAGTGCACTGCTTGCCTGAAAGTCTTTCCACAGCAGATGCACTGGAACGGCTTCTGACCTGTGTGTATCAGGATATGCCTCTTCAGTTTGTAAGGGCTTGGAAAGAATTTTGAACAAAGCAAACACTGATGCCTCCTATGGCTTTTATCTACAATAGATTGCAAAACTCCATCCCTGACAAGATCACTTTCCATAGGTACTTTTTCAGCAGCACTCATCTCGAGATGACTCTCTGATCTAAACTTTGCTGACACATGTTTTTCCAAAGGGGCATTCTGGGTTGGTGTGGTGAAAGAAGCCGCACGATCACCTTTGCCTTGCGAAAAGGAAAGCGAGCCGCAGTTAGTGCTGACCTTTTTTAACTGGACACGTCGGGGGGAGGTGTGGGTACGAACGTGAAGTTTTACGTGAGTCAGCTGGCGGAACCTCTTACCGCACACGTGACAACTGAAAGGCCTCTGTCCTGTGTGAACCAGAATGTGCCTCCGTAGTTTGGATGGAGCGGGGAAGCGCCTGAGGCACATGGTGCACTGGTGGCTCTTCTTCACTTTTTCCGCACAAGCCCTTGGTCCACGTTGCTTGGCCACCACTGGTCCCTCGGGCTCCGCCATCGGAACGTCGGGATGAATATCCAGGTTTTCCGACTTCACCATGATGTTCAGCTCGAGCTGCATGGCAAGAGCTGCCACGTCATCAGGTGAGGTCGCCGTCTGGTTATGGTCTGGGCCGTTAACCATTTCCTCTTCGGCGAGTGAGTCACTAGATGCCAGCAGTAAATTTTCTGCATTTTCACCTTCATTCTCACCCTGAGGCTCATCTTCATTTCTGTGTTCATTCTTGTGCTTCCTCGGATCATTATACTGAGAAAAATTTAAGCTGTATTTCCTGCCCTGGATGGGTCCCATTGTTACATCAGTCAAAGAACATTTAGAGTCCTTAACATCCACTTTTGCAGGTCCTCTTGCAGGTCCCGTTTCTGTTTTTATGTCAGTAGTAAGTGTTAGGGTCGCATGGTCCTCTTCACTCCCCTGGTTCTTCAGCAACAACGCCCGTGTTTGTGGTACCGTCAAAGTGCATTCATTACTGCACAGAATATCAGAATTGATTTGGTTTTGCTTTTCAGGTTGTGCTGAAATATTAAAGGTGGACTTACAGTCAGTAACTTCAGGCTGGCTGAGTCCATCAGCCAAGGCTTCAAGGTTCTGTGAACACTCACCCATTTGTTCACCTGAGTGGTTACTGCTTCTCCATGCTTTCCTATGAGTTTGCTGATGGGTCTTTAGATGTGCAAGTTGCCTGAAGGTGCCACCACATTCCAAACAGGCGAAGGGCCTCTGACCAGTATGGATGAGACAGTGTCTCCTCAGCTTGGAGGGGGAGCTGAAGGACTTTGGACACTCGGGGCACTGGTGCTTTATTTGACTTTTGGGACAGTTCAGTGGGAATTCCCTCTCGAAGGCTGGACCTGAGTCCATCGAGTCTAAAGGCAGATCTCCAGCATCCGACCAGAGTTTTGCTTTTCGTTTTACAGCCTCGGCTGATTTCTGTCGCCTGTGGATGAAGCTGTGCTTGTGAAGTTGGAGAACAGAGGCAAACCACTTCAGGCAGATGTCACATTGGTGAGCTTTGCAGTCAGTCGGGTCAGTGGAGTTACACTGCTGCTCTTGAAGGACATGGTTCTGTGGTGTCCAGTCAGACGGCTTCCAGTCCGTAGCAGGGATCCAGCATAGTTCTGATTGCTTGACTGTGACTGCTGTCACTGGCTCTGCAGCCTCTGTTGAATCTTTCTGCTCATGTGACTGCAGAGTAGAACCTGCTAACAGTGCAGAGCCGTCTTGGGTTCCTTGAGACAGCAAGGTAATGGACGTGCTCTCATTGGCCAGCTGCATTTCATGTGTGAGGGGTCCCTGTTTCGCGTGGATCTCCTGGTGTGTCTTGAGGTGTGCAGTCTGTCGGAAGGCCTTCCCACATATTGGGCAGGTAAAAGGTCTGTGACCCGTGTGGGTCAGGTGATGCCTCTGAAGCTTAGAAGCAAACTGAAATCGCTTCAAACAGATGGAGCACTGATGTATCATGTTTAAAAACACAGCACAAAGCTGTTCACCACCCTCCACATAACAGAAACACTTCTTTTAAAATCATTCCTTTCATTTCAGACGGCCAGGGAAATAAGTTTATGGTAAAAGTATAATTTCCTCCAGTTTCTTCGTTGCAGTCATTTTAGGTTTTTCCCCTGGCAGTTCTTGGACTGACTCAACTCACATACAGCAGTCCTAGAAAACAAAACACTTCAGGTAAGACAACTGCACGAAATAATTTGACATCGTCCAATAACAAACCGACACTGATGTTTCCAAAGAACGACGTTCATTTTTTGACCTACAATTCCAGTTCGATAAACGGTTTTTAGGAAAAGCTTGACATTTAAAATCTAAATCAAGACAATTAGCGATTTAACGTAAAGCGAAACAAACAACTTTTATTCTACAAGATACATCATGTACACTTATGCTGCCTTTGTGTACATCGAAACAACTCACCAAAGAGAGACATGCGAGTCAATTTCCATTCCGTAGCTATAATAAATTATATCCGCAATATTATAAGAAACACCTTCCATTAAATAATTAAACTGTTTCCTGAAATAACCCATATTACTAGCTGTTTAGCTAGCTTTCTAACTACCCAGTTCGCCTAACAAAGCGGACCATTGGTCCCTCCTTTACAGTGAACGGATAGAAACAGAAAGTAAACTTTTGGTTCCTACCCAGCTATTGTGTATATAAAGTATAAATTCTAAAATCGTATACACATTTAATATTAAGCGAATAATTGATATGCAAATTAAAAAGTATAAAATCAACCTCGAACATTACATGTAATAAATTATTTAAGACTTCTTAAATCAATTTTTCGGTGAATTTATATTATTTAAAAAGCATCACTTTGGGTTAAGATCATTTTTAGAAGTATTTTGTATGAGACTCCATTACTGCGCTGAACGTAATATTTAAAGACAGATGAAGGTGCCTCAACAACATCCTTTTACAGTGCAGGGTGTGTTCGCCAGACTTAGAAGTTCCCCTTTTCGCCCACATGGGGGCAATATAGCCCATACTACTCAAAATAGCCGTTTTCCCAATTGTGATTTTTAATTAATATTTTGATTCTTAAAAATAAATAACAACACAGCGAAATGGACCTTAACCATAGCTTAGAATCTGAAATTAATAAAAATCAAAAAAAATAAAAAAAATCTGGCATTTAATGCTGTTCAATAAAATAACCTTACATAGGTTTGAGATAGATTCAGGGCTCTCCTTCAATGTTTTTAAGCTTTAATGCAAAAATCAATGAATAGGTGTTAAATATAATTGCTGTGGCACAAAATACCAACAAGGGTGGCTGACGGGAGCTGAGTGTTTCTGTGCGTCCGTTCCCCTGGGCGATGGGGTTGTAGGGCAGCTGTATGGCGGCGGGGGGGAGCCATGGGCTGCTCTTAAACAGACAGACCTTGACTCTGACAGTACCTGTGAGGCTCCCTCTCCAGCTAACGAAAGGGACGAGCCAGTGGCTGCAGCCTCCATGTGGCACTACCAGCCATGAGCCTCGTGCCACCCCCCCCCCCCCCCCACCCCCACCCCCCCCGGCAGAAAAAAGGCAGCCACATCGGCGATCGTCACAGACGCCCTCAAGTGTCGCATGTGTGCTTAGCAGGGTCACCCAGCCATAGCCTGAGAAGGAACAGCTAGGACATCTCACATCTCCGACGGGCTTCAGCCGAAAGGAGCATGCGCTGTTCTGCACGCACCGTGCTGGACGTATCATGAGAGTAACTCGAATGATCTGTCACCCTAGCGCCCCCTAGTCAATCCCTTTGGAAATAACATTAATGCCAGTAGGAAAAAACCTCACACGCAATTCAGGATGTATAGATTCACAGCATTATTACATATTCCTCAGTGTGCTGTTCCGGCTTACTGGGGGAAAATCACATCAAATAAGCAAAGATGTTGGGGCCTATAATGGCGGAAAGGTGCGTGGTGTAAATGTGTCGCTTGTGTAAAAGCTCCCTCTTTCCTCATGATATTAAGCGCCCGTAAATGGCCCTTGGGGACATAAATACACTACGGGGGTGAATTCAGAGCCTTTCCTGGCTGATCCCACCGGAGAAGCCCGGGGGTGGGGGCTTGGAGGGGAGGCCCGGGGGCGGGGGGCTTGGAGGGGAGGCCCGGGCAGCACTTAACCCCTCGACCGTGCTGCATAAGACTATTCACAAGTTATTGATGTCCTCAAATCCCTGGCAAATTGCTACCTGCTAGGTATTCCCCCTGCAAGCGCACACACACGCACACAGACACACACGCCACTATACAGACAACATAGCACAAACACAGTAATGGAGTCATACACAAGGTTCAGACTATACACGCATAAACACACAGACACTCAAACAAAAGGAAGAGGCAGACGCCCCCAGATACCCCCACTGAGAGCCAGGCAAAAGTGGGCTGATGTTAGAATTTGAATAATGCTTTTAAAGACACAATTATCCTGCCGAATTGATCTAAATGGGGTTTCCTGGTAGGGATTTTGTGCTCAGTGCACTGATGAGATTCTGGTCATGTACCACAGTCAGAACTTAATCTTAATCCAGTAAACAGTGATAATCATTCAAATGGCATCATATTAAACCCACATCGTTATTCCTGGGTTATAATCAGACCCGTTCAGGGTGACGTCTCTGCGTGTGTCTGCTGCATCCCCGCCAGAGGAAGGATCGCTCATCCCACCGATGGAGTCCAGCAGAGTCATTCCGTCTGGTCCCAAGATGGAGAGATCTTTGAGAGTCACTCTCCTGACTGTCAGGTGGTACAGTTCTCAGGCAGCAATGGGGGTGGGTGGGGGGGGGGGGGTTGGGGCTGTGTAAAGGACAGAATGCTACAGTAAAGCAGAAACCTGTAACATGGCGGGGGGGGGGGGGTATTCACTTACTTTACACAAAACGGTACAACGAACCTTTAAGATGTATGACATTCTCCACATTAAAAATATAAATGACATAATCAAACAATGTATGGTCACCTATACTTTAAATATATTTAAGGTGTATTTCTATACCTGCTTTTTTCTCATTTTCCCATTATGAAGAACGCGCACTAACCTCGGGGAAATGCTGATGCAGTAACACACAGGAAGTGGCAGCGGACTGTGTGGATTCCCCCTCCCCGCGGCGGCACAGCCCCGGGCCTACGGCCTTTAGCCGCCACAGCCAATCCCAAATGGCTTCAAATTAACCGGCAAACCGGGCTGTGACTGGCAGGCGTCGGCTTGAGAAAACGGGCCAATTAGGGCAGAGGCGAGGGGATGGGCCAGCCTGATGGAGCGGGGGAGGCCACGCAGGGGCACCTGGGTGCAGTCATGTGACCGCCCACCAGCGTGTGGAACACAGCAGGGAAGCCACACATGCTATATGTCAAATTTCAACATATTACAGAAAAATGCAGTAAGACAGTATAATGATATTCTTTTTCTGCATTACTTTTGGCTCATGCACACCAGTAGAATATTTACATATAAAGACAAAACATAATAAAAATACACACACACACACACACACACACACACATATATATATATAATTATTACATATAACAATATGTTTTTCTTAAATCAATAGTTAAGTATGTAACTTATTTCTACACAGTACATTTTCATTAAAAATATAATTTATTCATAGGAAACAATGAAGACACAAAAGGGGAGTTATATACATAAAATATGAATAGAGTGCGGACACGCTGTGTGCGCTGCGTTACGGGGGAGCTGACAGAGACGTGCATATCCTCACAGTTACGCCGAGTATCATTAATCATTTAGCGTTAAAGATAAAAGGCTGCAGAAACACTCAGAACACGCCGTACGGTATGACAACAAAGCGCCCCCCCCGCCCCCCCACACCCCCACGCACGCCTGTCAGGTTGCCGAGTGAGAGGACGGCGGTCAGATAAACGCAAGGAGACAACCAGTCCCTGGGCGGGCCCCGGAGAGCGCAGAAGGGCCGGCGGCACCGCCGTAGACGTCCGTCCGCGACCAAACTGCCCCGTGGGTACCAGGGAGGCCTCGGGGTTCGACCCCCTGCCCCACTGCGACCCCGGGGGTAGGAAAGACCCCCTGAAAAGCTTTTAACCAAGGAATAAGACTATGAAAAATGTCAGCGGGAGAATGCTTCGTTCAGAGCACACCTCACACGGAAACTGTATGTGTGTGAACACACACACATACCCACACACACACAATTCAATTTTTTTTACTTTTATATAGCGCCTTTCACAAGAGTCGCCCCAAGGAACTTTAAATGGGCGTGTTGTGATACACTACAACATCATTAAGGCAGGATAATGCAAAAGCAGGTTCATAACTGTATAGTCATCTTTTTAAATTTATGTTTATACCCAACTTCAGTTTATTCACATTCAAAACTGTAATTTTGTCAGGGGTTCACAGTGTAAGTTGTGACCCCATGGTCACACGTCCTGAAATCCTGCTGGACGATACTGTAAAATCAGCCAATGACAGTGCTGGGTTCAGGGTTTGGTTGCACATTGATCACGGGGACATTTTCTGTTGAGGCCGAAACACACTGGTGGTGTTTACATTTACTGCAACCTAGATAAAAGGGCAATTTAGTCTGAGCAGTAAAAAAAACCCGAATCTTTGTATTTTTTTTTAGTAAAAACAGAAAATGGAGAATAGGATAGCGACTCGTTGGTCCATGCGTTAGGTGACCTCTGCTGAAGCGGCCACTTTCTGTCTCCTAAAACACTGTTAATGGCTTTCAAATTATCCAAAGGGTTAAAATCATTTTCCAGCACCGGCCATAAAGCATCCATCAAAACCCACGCGGCCGAAAGACTTTCATTCTGCAGAATCAATTTCCATTTTCTTCATGGTGGAAAATGACATGGAATCGGGGGCCGACCGGCGGAGCGCCCGGCAACAGGCGTGACGTGACAAGTGTGCATCTCGCTAACACCCCCATAAAGAGCCAGGGAGGGCGGGGGCCCCGTCTGAGCTCCATGGGGGGGTCAACAGGACCAGGCATCCTCAGTTCCCTGCCAGCTCTAAGTAGGAACGGCTGCGTGGGAGGAAATCGGACCGAAACCGAGAAAAAAAAAATCACCAAACTGAGAATCTGTGGTGAAACTAGTTGGATGGAGGTGTGGTTGCGTTTTATTTGAACATTTTACCGAATAATGTTAGCAAAAAAATTATAATTGAGGAGTAAACACTGATGCCGTATCTGTACTATATGAACTAACTCCTCCAATGTAGCTTTGCCACCTTCACCATTTTCTCCCTCCCCGCCATTAGTTTTGGACATGTGACCCACCAGAGGAGAGTATCAACAGCAGGAAAAGCTGTAAATGAAGCTGTAAATGAAGCTTGGTGAATCCATCACAACAGTAAACCCAGCAATTAAAGGCCCATCGGCCAAAATGATAATAAATCGCCGCTTGTTTAAATTTCACTTGCCGTTAACATCACTGTCGCTGACTCGTGTGCTGAACGACAAACACGACAGGCCGGTGCTGGTGAGCCTCCCTGTGAAAGCACACCAGGAGCCGCATGCTGGATGTCAGTGCCAGAGTGGACAGGACCCTGCCTTCTCCTCGAGATACCCACAATGCAACACCACAGCTTGTTTCACTGATATGCTG